GATGGATGGATGATGGATGGATGATGGATGGATGGATGAGGAGGTAAGGCAGCAGTGTCAGAGTGGAGATACAGGACTGAGCCATGGGTGCAGCCCACCAAGGGGGTGCAGGAGAGGAGCACTCAGGCACAGGGAAGCTTTATGCCTGCTCCAGCAGTGACTGTGCCCATCACAGGTGGCCACACGAGCCAAGCACAGTGCCAGCATGGCTGGGTTGGCCCCACTCCTTGATGAGCTGGCTGCCCCAGCATGCTGCTCCCCAGGGGCTGCACCAGTCACTTAATCCACAGCCTCAACCTCCAGACACTGCTTCAGAAGAGATTATACTAAAAATGACCCACACAGATGGCTTGCAAAGCTGTGTCCTCTCTCATTACAGTACACCGGGTTTTGTTCAGTGGAATTTTGGATGAGAGCCTGTTCTGAGACAGTGATCTCTGCCCGAGCAGAGGAGCAGGTATTGCCTTACCAGCTTCAGGAAATCCATACTATCATGTCTCAAAATACCCCTGCCAGAGAGGGAATGATACTTCATTTTACTAGAGACCAGGAGTTCATCAACACTCACTAGCTGGGAGCAGCCAAATTAAATTCCAGTGCCAAGCCTGTTATCAGCTCCTGTCAGCTCACACTGCAAATGCTTTTATTGATGATTGAGCACCTGAGGGCAGCCTCTGCATAAGAGACACCAAGAAGTAAAACACTTCTACACACTGGAGCAGGCTCTATCCCTCCATCCTCATTTATAATTTGGTTTAACTCATCTCTTTTCATCACAAACCTGTCGAGCATCCCTCGGTGGCCTAAAGCAACCCTGGGTGGCCAAAAATGAGCAACACTCACCTTTGCATCCCTCTCTGCAAACTTTGTGAACATGTTGGCGTAGATCCTCCGGTCCCGCTCGTTGTGCTCCTTCGTTTTCTTCTGGCACACTGAGATCTGGGATTTTGCTGCTTTGTTCTGTGGATTCACTTCCAGCACTTTTTGAAAGTCACATTTGGCCAGCTCGAACTCGTTCATCAATAACCTGGCTTCACCCCTCCTGTACAAGCCTTTCTCATTGTCCTGGTCCAACCCCAGAGCCTGGAAACACACACAGGTCTCTGTTAACATCTCAGAGTCCTCCCAAGAGATTCCCCTACAGCTGAAGCCTCAATAAATCTGTCAAAATTAGGACAACGTGGCTTCAAATCTCCAGAGCACTTGCATCTTGCTCAACAAAAATTGCCTCATCTCCATCAGCAGTTGGGAGATCATTAATATAGTTTTATTATCTCTCCTTGCTTAAAATACCCCTAAGTGTGGCACTCAGTGGGAGACAAACCCACAGGCAAGAGATCAGGTGTAAAGACTAAATCCAAGCCCATTTGTCTCCCTCTTTTAGCAATGATATTACTTTCCTTTAGTAAAAGCCATATATATACCTCAGATATGATTTACCTTTTAGATTAACACAAATATCCCATATATTTCCCATATACAAGATGCTTAAATCTAAGCCTTTTATAAAAGAATTCAGAGTTTCCTGACAAAGACAAGGTCAAAGATCTTTTAGGGACTGGCAAAGCCCCATCCCACCCCTTGGTGGCCTTGGAGATCTGCTGCAGCTCCACAGAGCTTGTCTGTGTCACACCCAGAGCAGAACTCAGTGCCCAGCCTGGGCAGACCCAAACACCCTGCCAAGGCTGTCAGTCTACACAGATCCATTCACACAGATCTGGCTTTGGAAGGAAAGCTGCTGTAAATGCATGGCCAGGTGGATTCTGAACCCCTAAAGGTCCTTGTGGCCCTGCAGTCTCTGAGCACTCAGCATCCACAGGGACCTCCAGGTGCAGAAGAGATGCCACAATCCCACTGCTGTTTGGAAATTCCTTCTTGTAAGACAAGGAATTTTTAAAAACCCCCACCAAACTCTTGTTCTCCCAACAAGAACATGCAGGAGAAGAAGATGCTCCATCCCTCAGGCTTGTGTTGGTGCATTAGGATTTTAGCTTTTATATTTTTCATGTTTTTGTAATCCTGCAATTTTTAGTGTACAACTAAATTCCATACACAGTGTGAGCTGCTGCTTTCCCATTTTGGTCAGACACAACAATTCCTCTCCAGGCTGGGAATCAAGGACACCTCACTGCCTCGGGCCTCAAGAAATGGAAACAAAAGCGAGTTGGGGGCAGCAAACTTGGGGTAAATGACTTAATTACCTGAAGCTGTAATTGGAAGATGAACCCCCAATATACAAATGGACCAAACTTATAAAAGTGTAAAAAGCTGTGACCCATTGTCCATATTGGGTGTAGCCCCTTGGGGAGTGGCTTCACCTGCCCTAAATGTACCTGAAGGCCCTCCAATAAATATAACCACTTCTTATTCCCTGAATTTCGTCTGGCCTCTGTTTTCAGGTAGCCCAAACTGCATCAGTGCACCTGTACCTTGTCACAGCACTCGACAGCCTTGGCATACTCCCGCAGCTTCAGGTAGCACATGGCCAGGTTGAGGAAGGCAGCCAGCAGGAAGGACTCAGAGGCTTTAGACTCTTTTTCAGACAAGCCATACTCCATTTCCAGCCAGGACACAATCTTCCCATACTGAATCACTGCCTGCAGGTATTTGCCTTCCTGGAAGGAGCAAAAAGAGGCTCAGTCTGCCCCTGGAGTATCCTGTGAGCAGGTGACAAGTGTAATGTGGGGTGTTCAATAAATACAGGAAAGGAGGAGGATCCCAACTCCTACAGACCAGCAGGGTTGGGAACAGCTGAGTCAGAACAGTGGGGAGCTGGGATGGCCCAGCTGGGAAGGGGAATGAAAAGCCCCTCAGCACTGGGCCTGGCGTGGGAAGGGTTTGATCTGCTGTCCTGCTCTGCAGGGAGCACACAGAGCCAAGGCAATGCTGGGGAAGGATGAGATATCTCAGGGAGCACCAAAGAGTGAGAAAAAGGCAGAGGGAGAGCAGGACTCGCCTTCCCCAGCCCTGTCTGGGGCCACATGGCTTCTCTGACACTGATGGCTGCCAAATTCAGTCCCAGCTCCTCTCCTCTGCCACCCCCAAATTCACAAACCTTGAAGTACATCGTGCCCTTCTCCTTGACCACTGCTGCCTGCTCCAGCTTCTCCTTGGTGTCCATCTCCCACGACTCCTTGGCCTGCAAAGGAACACTTGGAGCAGTCCCAGTGGAGCAGAGCAGCCTCCCCTGCCCCAGCAGGACCAGGCCACTCTCTGGGACAGTGTGATCACATTCAGAGCTCATCAGAGCTGTGCCACAGAGTGTGGAGACAGGTCCTGTCCCTGCTTTGGCCAGAGTGATGGCACAGGCAGGGGACCCATCCAGGGATGTGCAAATCCCATGGGCTTCTCCTGCATCCCATCCCCAGCCTTCTCACAGTCAAGCCTCACAGGGCTGGTTGGATGCACAAGCTTTTATCTGTGCAGCCCAGGGGTAAAAAAAAGGAAGAAAAAAAAAGAGGGGAAAGGGGAAGAAAATAAAAGGAAAGAAGAAAAAAAATGAGAGAAAAAGCACAAAAAGGAGAAAAAGGAGAAAAAAGGAAAAAAAGAGAAGGAAAGAAGAGAAAAAAGAGAAAAAGGGAGAAAAAAAAAAAAGGGGGGAAAAAAGGAGAAAGAAAAAATAATATTAAAATAAAAAGAAAGTACAAAAGGACAAGGTTAGGAACAAATAAGACACCCAGCCTTGGACCTCAGCCACAAGAATAAAACAAACCAACAGAGAAGAACAAATTAAGAACACGAAGCTCCTCAGCGACGTGTCCACTTCAGCAGGGGTTGGGCTGCAGCCACGCCAGGGACAAAGGCTGGAGGCTACACAGGCCCTGACATTCCTGTAACCCAGGGAGGGACTGGAACACCTCTGCTCTCACCTTCTCAAAGCTCTTCAGGGTCACCTCGTACACCAGCTCTGTGTTCCCCTGGATGCCATATTTCGGCTTCCCAGCCTCACCAAAGCCGTACCTGCAGGGCAGGAGGAGGCACTCAGAGAAGAAGAAAAAACCTTATTTTCACCAGGGCTTGCCCATAAATGCAGACCCAGTTTGCCACCCAGTTTTGTAACATTTTGGGGACAGAGTGATGTTACTCTCCTTGCTGTGAATATACAATGCATTTATGGGGAATCATCCCTTCTGGCTGCACCAAAGCCATCTTTTTACACGGGATTCTCTCCAGCCCTGGTCATTTCCAGGGAGACATTTTCATCTCAGACACTGGACTTGGATAAAGCCCTTTCACCTGTTTTTTTTTTTAAAGCATCTCAGTATTCCTGTTTACATGTCACTGGTCACTCCTGCTGCTCCTGCTGGTGTTCTGAGACTCTCCTGGAGGGTCCTATTTTCAGGATTGCCATTTTCCACAAGGGCTGGAGGCACAGGGATGCTCCTCACCGTGGGCTGAGGTAGAGGATGCAGTGCTCTCCCCTCTGCATCTTCTCCAGGGCCTTGTCAATGCCGATGGGGATGTCGTGGTCCTCCCCTTCGCCCACGACGAATTTCACGTCCTTGCAGTCGAACCTGCGGCCACCACAGAATCCCTCCAGGTGAACTGCAGAAGGGCAAGAGGGGCAGGATGGCACCCACAATCACCCAAACCTTGGAGAAAGGTGGGCTCCAAAGTGTCTTAGAAAGCATTTTATAAAGCATGTCTCCTAAAACTCAGCAGAGCGTGGAAGAGAGAAGACCCAGGGCTGGGGGCAGCCTGGAGAAGAAGAGGGATGGGGAGGGCTTGGGAACATTGCTGAAAAGCAAGGCAGGCATATCTTGTCTAACCCAGGACCAAACAACAGATAAACATCGTGACTAATATGTTCCCCTCGTACTCAAGTGCACGAGTCAAGTCTTACTGGAACTGGATATTGCTCCTGGCACGGCGCCATGCAGAGTTTATCACGGTGATTACAAATCTTCTATACTGTGCTATACTGCCTTGACTCCTGCCTCGAAAACAAGGCCATGTTCTCCTGACTCTGAGAACTCAAAGTACAAGATAAACTTTTTTATTTTTAATCTTCAACCAGGAGCTGTGCTGTTCCAGCCCCAGACGCTGGCAGAAGCGCAGCAGGAGCGGACACTGGGTACCTGGCACATTCACCACCTGGCACTCCTGGCTGCCTTTCCACAGCAAGATTATTCTTTATTTATTCAAACCTGAAGACGTTCCAGGCTTTGGGGACACTTTTACAGCCTTTGCATTCTGCTTGCAGGGTAAAAGGCATACACACATGCAGGCAGGCATCAAGTAAAAGCAATTTCACAAGGAACTCCTACATACCGTTAAAAAAAAACGAAAAAGAAAAACAAACAACAACAAAAAAAACTTTGAAAGAGGAAAAATTCACAACTGTGCCTACAGGTTTGCAGCCTGCAAAGACACGAGCTTTACCTTTGCTTGAGGGGAACAGAATGCAACCTGAGATGCTGCAGGGCACTGAGCATCCTGCTGTGGTAGCAGGTGAAGGGCAGGACAAGCTGGGTACCAGAAAAAGCCAAGAGGGTCCGGGCTCTGCACAGGAGAGCTGCAGCCTGGGCTGAAGGAAATCTGTGTCCATCCCCTGCCCTGGGACCTACAGAAGTCCTTAGGATGAGAGGCACGGACCAAGCCAGAGCTGGCAGCCCCCATTCCAAGGGCAGGTCCAGCTGCCGTAAGAGAATCCAAGGATGGGTTCCTCACTGCAGGGGCAGGGCACCAGGCTTAGCCTTCTCACCCTGCTCTTGCCACCAAAGCCACGCTGGGACTCAAGCAGAGGATGCTCAGGTGCTTGCCAGCTCCCTGGGACACATCCTGCATCCATCACTGGTGCACAGTGACCACAGCAATCAGGCTGCTGTGAGCTCACCCAGCTTGGGGGAGGACAAAAAGCAAATCCAGCTCCTCCAGGGACAACCTCTGCTTTTGCACTACCCAAAACCAAGCTGACTGGCTTTTTTAGGCACAGAAAATGTGGGAAATTCTGCCTAAAATACAGGTAACCCAGCCACCTCACAGCACCGTGCATGTCCCTGCACGCTCCTAGTGAGCACAGATCCATAATCCCTGACCCCAGAAGCAGCACTACAGCTCCCCCAGGTCCCACATCCCCTGCGGGATGCAGTGATGGGAAGATCCACTTTAAAACAGGATGCACAAGGGGATGTTGTGATCCTTGCTTCCAAGGATAGTTCTGCTCTGTTTTAATTGAGCAGAAAACACACCGAGCACAGGGGGGGGGGAAATCTCTGCTCGGGTTTCCAGGAGTGGGTCAGCTGGTTCAGCCGCTCTTGGATTACAGAGAAAAAAAAGTCACTGAAGGAACATCACTCCGGTTGCAGCTCTGACTTATTGTTCTCTCAGTGCCTGCAGCGATTTTGTTTTTGAAGAGCTGAGAACAGAGTGTACTGAGTGCGGCTGGCACACGAACTTGATGTGCTGACAGCAATTTGTACTCAGATTAAAAACGGAGAAGGAGGAGGGGTGGGGGGGGAAAGGATGTAACAAAAGCTGGAATGCCAGATTTCAACTGCAGCACAGGTTTTAGGGACCAGAACTGGGATTTAGGGTCTGTAAAACTTAAAGCCTATAAAAACCCGGAGGTACTTGCTCCGGGAAGCGTGGTTTCTTCCAGCCTAATTCCAGCACCTCCCAAAACACACAGCTGAGGTAAATCATCACAGCCCTGCCCCAGGGTGGACTGCTGTGTCCTCCCAGCTGCTGTGCCACCCCCAGCACAGTGACCATCACTCAGACAGTAGATTCTGAGTCAAAATCTCATTTTCCCCTAAATGAGATCCCTGTTAGAAGAACCAGCCACTTAAAGCCACGAGCTTTATAAGCTCCCACAGCTCAGATTCAATTTCTCCGTCGCTAAAGGGACTTCAGGATCTTTGTGTGCAGGAGCTCTGGAATTAAGAAAAGAAAGTAAATGCCTCCCATATGGAGCGAGCTCTGTGTGTGTGTCTGAACAGTTCTTGGGAAGGAAAAAACCCCAAACCCCAGTCTGCCTTCCCCTGTCCAGCTCCAGAAATGGGACCAGGATAGGGAGAGCCCAATGGGATGTGAGCTCCTCATCCTCCTGTGTCAGCTGAGACCACCCCAGCCTCAGCAAACCCCTTGTAATAATTTCCTTCTCCCTGCCATCAACAGCCCTGTGGCCATAAGGGAAGGAAAAAGCCACATTCTGTAAGAGATGTGATGAGACCCCCCCAAAAATACCATCAACATTGTAACGAGGAGGCCAAAGAAACTGCTGAGTGTCCAAAATACTTAGCAGGTGTTGAGGGAGGAACTGACGCTTTGGAGGCAAGGCAGAGCCAGGGGTTTTGGCAGATGGCACATCCCAGAGCACCCTGCACTCTGCAGAAAGGTCAGGGGAGATGACAGAGCCCTGAAACCCCACGGGGGTTTGCTTCTTCCATCCTCCCCCCAGCCACTGCCTGAGCAGCTCCGGGGTTTTCCTGGGCTGCTGGTTTTCCACCCAGCCCTGCAGGGCAGCAGCTCTGGCAGAGCCACCACAGGGGCAGGCCAAGGAGAGCTCAGAGGAGCATCCCCAGCTGCTCTCCATCCCATCTGGCCTCCGGGTGGATGTGACTGCATCCCACCAGGACTGCACAGCCACCTCCAGCCTGTGCACTGCCAGCAGCTCCCTGCCAGGGATCAGCTCAGGACAGGCTGAGCCTTCCAGTTATCCCACAAGGGACCAGCACTCACTCTCCACGGTAGCACCTTCATTAGGGTTGGAGTAACCTTCTCCCTTCCTCTTGATCCTCCGGATTATTCCTCCATCCTCAAACAAGTCCTCGCCTTTGAAGTCAAGCAGCTCGACCTAAAAAATAAGAAAGAAAAAGTGGGCAGAGTGTAGGGAGGGGGAAAGGAGAAGAGAAAAACAACAGAGAGCCACAAAGCAGCAGTTCATCCCCTGGCTGGAGAACCAAGCCAGCTAATTCTCTGTTCAGCTGACGAGCAGAAGTTGCCCATAAAACCCAAATCCAAACCACAGCATAATACACGAGATTTATTAGAAACTGGGACACATCCAGTACCTGAAGCATAACACAAAGTAACAGAAAAATAAGTTTATTGAACCTGTAAGGGTACAACACAGCTGCTGCTGGAAGATGCTGTGAAAGTCCCCCAGCGTGGGCAGGAGCTTCCCCTTCATCCTCTGATGGGACCAGCTCTGAATCCTCAGCTTAGTCCACACTCGACTTGGAAGGCCTGAGCCTTAATTTAGGACAGACTCCCTCCTCCTTCCATGTCCCAACGAGCTCTGCCCAGGGAGCCCTCTGTGCCAAAAACTCAACTTTCCTACCACCCCTCAGCACTAATGGTTTTTTAGCACCTGGAGGCATTTCCCAGCTGCTTTCTCCTTCTCATGTGCATGTTTAAACCAGGTATCTGCCCACTCCCTGCCCTGGGACCAGGATTCTCCTAAGCCAGAGTTTCAGCCCCAGCCTTCCAGCTCAGACACACATTTCTGAGAAAGCCCTGGCAGCAGTTCCTGGAGCAGAGGGACACGTTTCAGGAATCCAAGCTGGGTTGTTTTTCTTTTTTGTTGTTGTGGATTTTTTTTTGTTGTTTGGGCTTTGGTTATTATTATTATTAATAATTTTAAAATTTTTTTTTTCTGAGCTGGCTGGCAAGGCAGAAAGGGAGCGAGCTTGCTCATGCACACACCAGCTCACCAGCATTACTTGCCTCAAAAAAGAGGGTGGCATTGGAGGGGATTTTGGGGGCACTGCCAGCAGAGCCGTATGCGTACTCAGGTTTGCAGAGCAAGTAGCAGATCTCTCCCTTCTTCATGGTGGCCACCCCAATGTCCCATGCCTTGATTACCTGACCTAGGAGAAAGGCAGATGTCAGGCAGGAGGGAGCAACCAGCAGCCCAGGAAAAAACCCAGCCTGGGTGTGGGCAAGGATGGCACCCAAAAAAAACCCAAATTCCCAAGTGACTTAAGGCAGGGCTGAGCTGTCCAGCTGTCCTGCTACAGGGTCACTTGATCCCCCCGACCCAGGGTGGTCCCACCAGGGTGATCCCACCCTCCACCACGCCATGGATGGACACCTCTGGAGCAGCTCACCCTTGCCCAGGCTGAAGATGAAGGGTTCGTTCCGATCCCGGCTGGAGTCAAATTTTTTCCCGTTGGCCAGTTTGCCTTTGTAGTGCACATAAACCTTGTCTCCAATCATGGGAGACTCCCCCTCACTCCCAGGTCGTTTAATGATCTGAGAGAGAGAAACCAACCATGAGCTGGGGCCATGGGATAGTAAAGGATGCATATGGAGGGGGAGAGACATACACACACACATGCATTTACATTTATATATATATATATATATATATATATACACATGCATTTAGTGCTGCCCTAAATAACAGGAAGGCTCAGGGTGGAGCTATTCAGTTTGCCCCTAAATTTGCCCTTCATCAGCTCCTAAAAACAAATCTCAAGCTGGAGCCACAGCAATGGAGCTGGACAGGGCTGGGAGCAGAGAGCAGTCCATACTGGTGGATAAACACCGTGGTTCCAAACGTGCAGTGAATGCAGCTCCTCTCGCTCTCTGTCCATACACATTTTACTCACAGGGGTGTGTCAGCTCACTACTCACTCCTTGTCAACACTTTTTTCTGAACGCTGCAGCCGGGAACAAGCAGTTCTCGAGCTGAGGATGGAGCAGGGGAGGATGCTATTCTTGGAGGAAAGGTCCTATTCAAGTGGAGAAGTGTAAGTGCTGAGGAGCAGAACTATCCAGAAACGGCCCCTGAATATGAAAAAGGGGCTGTGGAGCAGACTGGATGACCTCAGTAATGTGCTCTTTCTAATGTTTGTGAGTCACACACAGAAATGCTTTGTGGATTTACAGCTAATAATCTGATTAGGAACACAATAGCAGTGAAATTCATGGAGCAGCCTGGGCCCACCATCCTCAACCACCACTCCATCCTCCTTTACTCCAAGCAATGCTCATCCCCTTTGCCTCTGAAATGAAATAACTCGATCCTACAGCCCTGGAGCAGTGACCCTGAGGGCTGGGGAGGTGACCATGCACCCCAAAGTGCAGGAAGGCAGGACACTCTCAGCAGACCCCCTCTCACCTTCAGAACCCCTCGGTCCTTGGATGGGGTGATGTCCTCCCCTCGCTCTGCCAGAGCTGCTGCCTGCACCTCCCCTTCACTCTTGGTGGCCTCATCAGTGGTCATGGTCTCCTTGGACCTGGGGGGACACAGCACAAACCCCATCAGCCTGGCAGGACCACGGGAGGTGCTGGGAGAGTAAAGGGTTTGTCACCCTGCGTGGAAAGGCAATGCACAAGCAAGCATTTTCCCCAAAAAATTAAAGAAAACCCAACACCAAAAGAATCCTAGCTATTTGGGTGGATAAAGAGAAAACTCACAGCAAGAATCTAAGGAACTGGGAGATTTTTGGGCAAACTGCTGGAGCACTGTGCTCCCAAATGTCACCACATAAGCAGCCAAGGTGCCAGAAAAGCCACGTTTTCCATTGAACACAGACTTTTTCCAATGGTTCCTGGTGAAAAAAAAAAAAAAAAAGAATTGCCTACAGTTTCAAAAACATATTTCCTGATGATTTCCTTCAGACCATGGGGCTATTTTGGTAGCTGCACTGCTGGGCGACACATCATCAAGGAAACATGTGACGGAGAATTAGAAAGCGATGGGTTTTTTAAGACATAAACCAGATCTATTAAAGCCACTCTAATTGTGAAACTTTCCCACAGTCTTCAGCATGGAGGCTGATGTTAACCAGCAGGAGAAATCATTCATTTGGGGGATTCAAAAAGAGCAAAGAAAGGATGTTTTCAGCTCCAAGGACAGATAAGTCGTGCTGCAAGAATTGCTTTCCTCACACCCGGGTGGAAAGGGAAGGACTAGAGCCCGACCCCCCCCAGCACAGGAAGCCACCGAGACACAAAGAGCCCTGAAATGGAAGAAGCAAAGAGAAAAATAAGGGAACTACTTGTTGCAAGGCTCAATTATCATTGTCTTTCGGGTGATATTTAATGGGATTCTGCGTCTGCTCCCTTTCCTCTGCGCTGCTGGGGTTTCAGATGGGAACATCTTAAAAGCAAAGCATTTAAAAAGCAAAGCAACATGTGGTGAGACCCATTATCTCACAGGTATTTACTGGAAAATGTGCCATGGGTTACTTTGGAAGAAATGTTTGATGATGTGGGTGGTGATGCACTGGTTACCCAAAAGGGTGACAGATGCCCCATTCCTGGGAACATCTGGGTGAGTTTGGACAGAGCCCTGAGAAACCCATTCCATGATTCAATGATCTGGGTGCTGGGATGGTCTCTAAGCCATCACAGCCTTCCTCCTGGAGAGGAGTGAGGAGATGGTGGTGCCCATCCCAGCACGGGCATGGTATCAGCTCAGGGCTTCCTGTGCAGCACATCATCCATAACCCACCCATAAGGACCAGGAGAAGCCCAAAAACCAGGGAAACTTGCCCAAGAATTGCCAGAACCTCCCCAGCTCCACCAAGCAGCCACCACCGGGATGCAGGACACGGACAGGGAGGTGCTGGCTCCGGCTCGCCGCTTGCTAAATCCCACCAAGAGACATCTAAAAATACACCCTACGCATCCTTCTCATTATTTTTCTACGTAAGCAATTAGAGGAGTCATCCAGGGAAGCTGGCCAAGGCGGGCGGGAGGGGAGACGCTCTGCGTCAGCAGCAGTGGGAGGGATGGAGCCCATGGCACTCAGATATTCCTGATGTGGCCCACGTTAGGAAAGAGCTCACGACTTCTCCGTCCAGCAAAAACAGCTCCAACTAGGTTAGAGAAAAGAGTGCACTGCTCCCACTTATCTCCCATTTGGAGCGACAGGAGGAGGCTGGCCAGGGGCCAAAATCCCAATTAATTTGAAACAAACAGTTGTAGGGGAAAAAAAAATAAAAAAAATATCTGCTACTCCCGGAGGTTTAAATAGTGAGCAGGCAGGGATGTCACTGAGCACAGCAAGCTGAATTCTTGTTTGTATACTCTGCATACAGGGAGGGCATTAATTAATTACTCTGTGCAAAAGCCCCTGGGTGTTTCTGACACCCCAAGCAGATCTTGCTTTCCCGTTACCCACAAGATTAATGTTGTAAGTCTGTAAATGAAGCCAGGATAAACCATCCTCCCTCCTCTGAACATCCACACTGCTCCATTTCCCTGGGATACAAACACGGATGGGTCGTAGAAGCACAGAAATAAATTAAACCAAGCTTTTTAATTTTACAATGCCCTCTCCACACAGGTGTTGCTGTCTCCCAACACTGAGAAACTGGTGAAAATTCAGAGGGGAGAACGGGATGCAGATGTGTGACCCCGGGCTGAGGACAGACAGGTATCACACATGCTAGGGTTTCACCAACCACACGATCCCCAGCCACGTTTCCTAGAAATCAGCATACCGGGAATTTGCCAGCTCCAAATGGAAACTTAATGTTGCAGATCCCTCCCAGAGGCTCGCAGGAGGGGAAAGGGATGGGGAAGAGAAAGGCTGGGAAGGGTTTTGAAGGGTCTCACCTTGCCACCATGCAATCCTTGGAGAAGGTTTGAAGGTGCAGGGAGAGTCCAAGCCCAGAGACACAGCGGGGAAATACCTGGTAAGAAGACGGGGGGACAAATAGAAAGAAAAAAAGATTAGAAAACCACACGTGTTTTATTCTAAACCAGGATCTCAGGATTTCAGAAGAAGGGAGAACAGAGCACTTTTGAGGCACAGATCACACTCCACCATGGTCAGAGAGGGGTGAGGAAGACTATGGCCAAAACCTACTTTGACTTGCTGTTTCCACAAAACAGCATCTTACCATTAGCTTTAAAAAAAAATAAATCCAAGCTATATCCTGTACAATTGTTTCACTGGGATGAAAATTAACAGGACGAAAAAATCAGAGTTGGCTGCTCTGGGGTTTGTTTTTTAAGACCCACTTAGCACAAAGCACTTTCACTTCCACGGCACCACAACAGCCCTAAAAGCTCCAGATTGCAACACAGGAGGGAGTTTCTTGAAAATGCAAAGGTCAGGCTTAAAAACAACAAATCTGAAAGCACAGCAGGGAGATGTGGGGCCCTGGATCCTGGTGATCACAGTCCCAAATCCCAGCCCCTCGAGCTGGACAGCAGCACATGCATCCTCCAGCCCCAGCACTGACTGCTAATGAAGAATAACCCAATTAGTGCAGCAGCTGACTCTCTCCACTGTCCCACGGTGGGTTGCTTCCCCTTCCATCACAAGAACTACTTTTTTCTAATAAAATCCCTTCTTGATGAGCAAGCTGTGCCTGTGCAGCAGGAGAGGGAAGACCAGGGCAGTTTCTCCTGGATCCTCGAGGGTGTTTTAGGACACCTCGGGGCCAGCCTGCTGAGCAGAGATCGAGGAAGGTGGTGGTAATGAGGATTGGGATTTCTAACAAAATTGGGATTTCTAACAAAATTGGGATTTCTAACAAAAATATTGCCTTCCTAAGATGGACAAGCATCTCCACATAACCCTCAGCTGCATCCCAGCACATAAGGACATACCCAGACATTGAGTGCTGTTTCTCACATTCGTACATCACAGTTAATTAATTAATTTTTTTTTTTTTTTTTTTTTTAAATCCTGGCCACTTGGCTTTCTCCCCCTCCTTCAAAATAAACAGGGAAGCCATAAAATTGGAACTATTGTTCACCAACTAAGAACTCCCATGGATCAATTTACTTCCTAGCGTGCACGTTGTGCAAGCGGCCAACACCCGGCAGGCTGGGCATGGCAACTTCTACTCAAACAAAAAAACCAAAATGCAAACAGAGCTGCTGGAATTGCCCAGCACCTTGAGAAGCCCCCCTGGCACCAGGGTGAGCCCTGATTCACCAGGGACTGAAGCACAATCCTGGTCTACCTTTATCCATGGCCAGTCCTGCTCCAGGGTGAACACCGTGGAGATTCTGGTACCAACCAGTGCCACCCACGCCATGGGGACACTTCAGAGAGGGATGCAGTCCCCAGCCACCTCCCAAGGACCAGGAGGTATCTGCCTATCACCAGAAAAACAGCCACAGGAGAAAGTTGTAAAACAATTAAGAGGATAACGAAGTGAAAAAGAAAATTTCTGTATGCAGCTCACTTATATCCAGCTGTGGATGTTCCCATCACACTGGCTTCACCATTCTGCCTAGCTAATATTTTTAAGCTTCTGAAATGGTTTTATTTAAGGTTCAAGTCATAACTAATTTATTATTTTTTTTAATATGTGGAATAAGAGGCTGTTCCTCAGCTGCAGCCAGAGGAACAAGTGAGCAGGATGGGTCACTAACCCTGCCAGAACAAATATCTCAGGCAGAAGCAAGATGGGTTCAGTGTCTCTGCACCCCCTGGAGTGAGGTGCACAGGCCTGTGCCAGCAACACACAAAGGACTTTCAGACAGGAGTGGTTTTATCCCCCCACCACTCAGTTTACAATATAAACCCATTAAAAATAACCTGGCTCTTCTGCTGGTTTTCTAGCAAGGAAATGCTGGCTTGGTGGTTTTCCCAGGTCACTTCAAAATTAAAAAAAAAAATAAAAAATCGGAGGGACAGAGCCCCTCTGAACTCTCTTGTGAGCAGTGGTCCATCTCCTCCAGAGTGGGTACCCAGAGACACAACACCCTCTACTTTCATGTGAAAGGGAATGTAGCTACAAAGCAGCATTTTTTTTTCTCCTCCCTTATTTTGAAGGACAAAGTTATACTAGGGAAAGCAAAATCCACAGACATTTATGGGTAGCTGCTGTCCCCAGGGGAGAAGGTGCCAGGGGCAGGGTGGGGCTGAGGATTTCACTCTGCAGCTCCTTCCCTACCTGCCCCCAAAACCACCCCTGGCCCCAGCAAGGATTTCAGCTGCTTCCACCATAAAAATCACAGCAAGTCTCTGCCACAAGAACAGATCTTTAAAACACTGGAAAAACCAGAAATGCCCAAAGTCTTTGCTCTGCATCAGCAGGGAGAGGCACCAGGCTGCACCCATCCTGCCCCTGAGAGGCTGACACAGCTTTTGATGATGGCTAAAAGAAAATTATCGAAGAAATATAGAAACAATGAGTGTATAAACAGCTGTTCTGCACCAGCCCGAGCTTCCTGGGAGATGCCTGGCAGGGAGGCCAAGCATCCTAACAAGCTCAGAGGTTGTAATACAGAGACATGTAACAGTGGGGAAGGCAACTTCCTAAAGCTTTCATAAATTGGGATTATGTAACTGGACAGGAAAAAATATAATAATATAGCCAAGCAGGTTATATAAACCATCTGTAAAATGTGAGAAAGTACTTGACATCCCACTACCCACTCCTTGGCACTCTCTCACTGGGTTTTCTGCCACCAAAAATGAGCGGGGTCCTTTCAGTTGTGTCTTCTCCCCTGGTCGAAACAAGCAGGGACAACAGACCAGCCGGGCTTTTTGGAATGAAATATTCCACCTCTGGCTGCTAAATGTGAAGTTTCCCTTCCCATACAGCACAGCAAAGTCCAAGCCTTCCACAGGCGACCCAGAGCAGCCTCCTGGCAGCAGCTACACCAATGCTGAGCAAATTGAATTTCAAGTGACAGCTTGGGGGGGGGACTAAAATAAATAGAAAATGGGAATAAACAAGAAACTCCTTGTTTGCCAATTCTGTTTTAATTTAGCTTTTTCTCTGGAATAAATGTGGCAATCAAACTTGGACTTATTTATTTTTTTTTGTTTGTTTGTTTCTAAAAGCATCTCACTGCTCTCAACAGATTTGGGTTTTTTTCCAAGCAAGTTGCAGCCAGGTGACCCCTGGCAGTGGGAATGCTGTGTTTGATGATTTATCCCCACACACGAGGGCTCAGCAGCACCTGGAGCATCCCAGAGCTGAATCCCAAGGGGGGAATCCCTGGCTCAGCAGCTCTGGCACCCAGAAATAACTCAGCACCCAGGACCATCTGCACCAGGGGCCTGTAAATGCCAAATTATTTTGGGCAGACGGCAATTCCCAGTGTGAAACACCAGCCTGCTCCGGTGCCAAATGAGGATTTCTTGGAGAAGCATCACAAACTGCAGGAGGGGCCGGGGTGGCACTGCCACTGCTGGGGACACTGTGAGGAGCAGCAGGGGCTGAGGACACCACGGCTTTGGGGACAAAGCTGCACCCCCAGCACTGTCAGCCAGACCCTGAGAACAGGCACTGACACACACACCTGCACAGGTACACGCTGCTGGGCATCACCTGGGGAGGGGAGGGAGCCTGCATCCCACCTGGGCTCCTTTTCGGGGTGGGGTCACATGCCAGCAATGATGCTCCTTGCCAGACAGTGCCTCCCAGGGCTCATTTAATTAAGTGGTTAAATTTAATGTAAGTCAAAAAGTACTTGAAATGAGAATATTTTTCCATCTAAGAGCAATACTGCTATTTACAAAGATGGGACACTGTAGGTAGAAGATGATTTAACTGCAGCCCCTCACTATCCCAACTCTTCACTTCTGACAGTTACTTTACTATTATTTTCCTGATTTTCCAACACACTCGCTTGCAAAATCAGCAATCCTTACAAGTCACAATTACTAGTTATGGAAAAAGCCTGTCAGCTGCATGACAAACAAGTTACATGAACAACTTGTACGTTAGAGCACTCGTGGCCACCTCTTTACACCCACAAGCACGGAGCATTAAAATAAAAAAAAAATCCTTGCTAAGTAATATCTATTTCCCTGTTATGTGCACAAGATCAGTAGGAGCTTCACAGCTCCCTCAAGGGGCTGCAAAAACTTTATATAAATTCATGTAATCGAGACTGACTATAAAATAAAATTGATATAAAATAATATAAAATGAGAAATAACTGAGGACAAACTATTTTTCAAACCATTTACAAAATACTTTTCCCCTGAGCCAGTCTGGGAGCTGCAGCCAGCCCGAGGAAGTCTTGGTGCCAAGCATCTCAAACCTTCCAGCAAACTTTCTCCTTCTGCAAGCAGGTAATTAATTAAAACACACGTAACCACACAGCAGAGATGTTCCTGAGGGATGCAGTTTGCTTTTTGCTCAGGAATTGTCCTTATTTTTTGGCTCACCCTGGCAGGAAGGTGCTCTGACATTGCTGGGAAAGGACCTCACCATGACTGAAGGGTGTGCTGGGCAAACACAGCCTTGGGAAGATGAGGCTATTTGCATTTATTTTTTAAAAAGGCAGCAGACAAACAAACAAGAGAAAATAATTGCATGAGCAATTATCCTAGCAGACATCTCTGTCCTGAGCAGGATGGGCACCAGGAGCAGCCTGTATCATGCCAACCTTCCCCTCTGGTCCCCTCCAGAGCAGCGAGGCCATGTGCTATCACCCCTCCTGTGCACTTCAGCAGAGGAGAAAACCTCTTCACTGACTCCCCAGAAATCTGCTGGGGATTTTTTCCATGCCACCACATATATTTTCCCCAGCACAATCCCCACCTCCATCACCCAAGCCCTCAGAAAATCCTTGGCTACTACTTCCTCCACCAGCACCCTTGGCTGCTGTGAGCACCCAGCTCCATCACAGCCCTGCCTTGTCCTCCTGCACCCCTCAGGGTGCTGCCATCACCCACCACGCTGGGGATGAGGACCAGCACCCCTTCAAGGAC